AGTTGAGCTAACGAACATTGTGTGTGTCCATTAAAGACACCGTCTGGTGTGATAAGTTCATTTTCATGTTTTTTTTACAACGAACCAAGCTGAACCCGTGGTTGCTTGCTCATGTCCACCGACGGTTCTATGTCTACGTAAACCATGAGAACCGATCGTACATTTTACCTTCAAGGAAGGGCGAATACATGAGTTGGAGGCTGTGAACCAGGCTGATTGCTTTATATGGCACTGATGATTTTTGAATAAGATTTATGTTCATTTAGTGTCAGAAGAGTGACAACAGGCGGTGTTTCGTCTTCCCATAGAATAAAATACTATTTTAGTATACAGGCTGACATCAGTGACAGGCACGTTAGGTGGCCAAGTAAGACTGGATGGTTTGGTAGAAAATTTGAGCACACTTTGAGAAACAAGGCGTGTTGGAAACAGTGACTTTCCACAACCAGTGAGCAGTCAGTGCTCGGCGTACGAAAACAAAAGTCTCAGTTTTTGGATACCGCTCAGATTGTATTGATATCATGTCGTCTATGTTTTCTGTGGAATACTGCATTTCCGGAGACGGAAGTAAGGATGCATGACTAACATTGCACAGTTTGCAAATAAGCATGTATGTTAATTAGTTTGGGAATGGGGACGAAAATGCAATCAAAAGATTAAAGAGGTAAATACTTTCCGATCTACAGAGGAAGAGAATGCGACAGGGACGAGCGGAGGAAGCTATCAAGCCGCTGGACAATCGTCTCGTCATACAGGAAGAATAGCTGATAGCCCACGCACCAGTAACTGAATTTCCACATTTTTACGATGTTAGCCACTCCTGTAGACCGAAAATTTACTACAAACCAAGCCGTATCCGTAGTCTTTACCCCAAGGGAGGATAAGAATATACACCATTATGTTATTCCCATCTAAACAGAAGTGGCTAGGGGATATTCGTATGCGACCAGATAGACGGTGAAGCTATCTCAGGTGTCCGGTTATTATGCGATCAAGACGTCGAAGCCTAGTGAAGGTTTTGTAGTAGATTTAGCTATGGGACTCATTTTACTCTTGAATGCTACAGTCTGAGGGAAATGCGGCGCAAGCAATTAACATTGGGTGGTCACAATTAATGTCAACACTTTCGCATCTGCATTCTACTCCCCTTTAAGATTCACTGTCCTTGTCCACAACTTCGCAAATTTCCTGAGACTGAAACACCACTCCTAAGTGTTTGCCTGCACTAAACTTCCCGATTCACTGTGTATGCATGTTTAGTGAGGAGTACCAGCGAAGAAAAAGTCATAAGATAGCACGCAGTCTTTTATAAAATATGCTTTAATGTCTAACCTCACTATCAGAAGGATACATGCACACACACACACACACACCGGGCATACGCGTTTTCCTCAAACACTTCTTTGACCCTCTCATTCCCTCCCCTTAACTTAATTAAGCTTCTCTTTATCATTTCATTAGTGTCACCTTGCCGAATTTCTCTCTCTACAATTTTGTTAATTGCATCTCCCTACCTTTACGCTGTCTCACCAACTTAATTGGCTGTCAGTATGAGATTGCAGTTACCATTCGTATTTCATTTCGTGTTCTCCTTATACCCCAATGTATTACTTTTCAAAACATCAGCAATCTCGTCATAATACTGGTAGAAAGGTGAGTTGCAAACTTAACAAATCGGACAGCATCATAATAAATGACAAACTTTGTCTGTTGATAGCCCGAAGAATTCGCTGTCGGTCATCAATCACAAGGTCACAGGTTCCACTGTTGGCTCCCGCTATCGGTACCCGAAGGGTCTAAAGCGGGACGAAAGTGGTAGTGAAATGCGGTGTTGGAAGTGCACGCAAACATTGAAAGTACCTCCAATTTGGATGCTGGCCCATTGGTTGCAAAGTCCTGCGTGTGTTTCAAAGTAAGTCGCAGTCCAAAATGAGACTGTGCATTACAACCTGAGTACACGATGAATCATTGAAAATACGACAGGAAAGCTTCGTGGTTGGCTTTTCTTTTTCGTCCGGAAATTCACAAGGACTTTAAATCCTGTATGAGCCAAATTATTTCTTCTCAGATACTCGGCACCACCATTCCAGTCTAACCCAAGCACATCGCTTCCAGTGAGCTACTCGCTCAACGTTCGCTAGACCGCTGCGCTCAAAAATATTAACCGCTGTCAACTGTTGTCACTAAGCACACACATCATATTACAGGGTCAAACAATTTTACGTTCATCCGTCTGCTAACAACTGCAGCGCTATGACTTACGGCCCCGGTGGCTGCCTGCATATTGCAAACATGGTCCTGAGTTTTACGTTGTGCATAACATCACTTTCTTGAGCTCATCATCATCATCATCTACACGTTAGCTAGAGGTGGGGAACACCTCAGCTACTGTGCCGCAATACACAGAAAAAAAGGAGAGAAAAAGGAATGCAACTGGCGCAAGCCGGATGAGCTACCGGTAACGGATGGGCATCGTTCTGGTAAGCTACCAGCCGGCTTCTGTGCACCAAAAAAAATTACTATGAAAAATTACATAAGGCTAAATAATAAGATCGTGGTTGGAGGGGGAGGCTAAGAGGGATGGGGTGGGACGAAGAAACTCACAGCACGAACACCACTGAGGTCGGCTCCTAGCCATATCAGCAAGTGTGTCCAACCAAACGTGTTCATCGTCTTTCGGACCCCAACCAGGGAGCCGAGACGCTCCAACCGAGGCCAGCTCAGAAGTGAGGGCCTTCATTCATCTCGACCAAGTCGTCGCTTGGCCACCCCTCCTCTTCTTCCATCCACACCCTCGGCGCGCAAACAATGCACGTCGCGGGAGTCGGTGGGCTGGCATGCGTAACACGTGGCCGAGCCATAGGAGCCTGGTGAGTGAAACAACAGTGCTGAGCGGTTCATTTCCTTTTCCCGTGCCGTAAACAAGGCCTCGAAGACGTTCGTTGCTCACGCGGTGTTCCCACCAGATGTGAGCTAAATTACGAAGGCACCGGTGGTCGAACGTAACTAGCCTCTTCAGGTCCGCTGCTTTAAGCGGCCAGGTTTCACAACCGTACAGTAGGGTCAAACGTACAGCTGCATTGTACACTCTACCCTTCAGGGCAAAAGTGATGTCGCGCCGGCGCTATATGTGGCGAAGGTTAGCAAAAGCGCCCCGAGCTTTTGATATACGGTTCGTGATCTCATCTTCAATCCCACGGGCGCTGATACAACTTCCCAGGTAGTTGAATTATTGAACGACCTCTAGCTGATCCCCACCAACGGTCAGCGTAGGGGGCGGTCCAGACCAAGCTTGGAGGAAGGCTTTGCACTTCGAGGGTGCGAAGCAAAGCCCAAAGTGACGGACAGCTAGTGCTAATCTGTCCAGTGCCGCTTGGCACATTTGTGAGCTGTCACAGATTAGGGCAATATCATCAGCATACTAAGTGAAGAAGTCGTTCTCCTGGGAGCAGATCCACACCTTCTAAGTCGTGTCCTGTGAACGCGATTTCCATGACTTCGTCAATAGCGAAGTTGAAGAGGAAAGGTGACAGCGGCCATTCTTGTCTCACACCGCTGGAGATATTAAAGGGCGACGACAGCTTGCCGTAAGCTCTCACTCTGCCCGAGCTACGAGCATATAATGCTCGGATAATATTCACACATTTCTCAGGTACACCTTTCCTGAGTAGACAGTCCCAAAGTGCATGTCTATCCACCGAATCGAATGCACCTTTGATATCGAGGAACACGACAATGGTGGGCCGCCAATATATGTGGCGGTGCTCCAACAACTGACGCAAGGTGAAGATGTGGTCAATGCAGCCACGACCTCGACGAAATCCAGCTTGCTCTTCACGAATCTGTCTTTCACGAGCGCCAGTCAGTCTGTGAAGGATGACAGAGGCAAGCAATTTGGAGGCGATGGAGATCAGACTGATTCCTCTATGGCTGCCACATTCCGATCGTGAGCTTCCCTTGAAAATTGGGACTATGACGGAGTGGCTCCAATCGGTTGGGACAGTTTCCTGCTCCCACAGTTGCACTAGTAACTCGTTTTCTTGAGCAATGCCTACCGGAATGCACTACAATATTGTTCGTCGTTTTCTGCCAAGACAGTGCGTAGAAATTGGTTTTTTAATAGCATTTAGTGCTCAGTATTTACTTTTGACGCGACTTGTTTACGATTGAATGGCGAACTCATTCATTCATATTTTGTTACCTAGCATCATACCTCCATCCTACTTCTGGATTATACTTTGGATTTATTTTGTTTTGCCTGTGGGTGCTATGAAACTACGCGGACTGCAGGACTACACCATAACAAACCAAAAGACCTACATTTCTCCCTTAAAGTGATGACTGCCTTTTTTAGATAACCCCACCCAACCAAGCAATGCTTCTTAACCCGGATGAAAATGCATTGTTCATTGTAGGTTAGTTTCATCGACGTAGCCAACATACGTGTCATTTGCCCTTCAATCCACTGCTTTTTTACAGTTCTCTTGCATGAACACCCGAACAGCATTGTCATGGATCCGCAGGAGTAGAGTCATGAAAACGTTTCCCATACTCGGAGTCAGTGGATGTATGAAGACAAAATGAAAATGGGGGAGAATCTTTGCGATCACATTACGTAAAAGCCACAAGACTCCTAGGCATGGGTTTCACCTAGTGGAATACTTGATGAATTTGTAGTATACACTACCTGCATAAATGTCTAGTGTAATTGTCAAATTTTTTTCTTTGTGCTCAGTCAAAGTCACCCTAGCTGCTATAAGAGCTTACGTGATACGACACGTAGGTAATATCGTAGAGGTTGGACACAATTAATTGGGAGTCGACATCAACGGAACATCGCACAGCCGTTGATGGGACCAGAAAAACTGGTCTATATTAAGTAACATCGTGAAGATGAAGACAACTGAGTTAGTTATTTAGGTGCGTTAGTATCTTTGAACGACTTGGGGAAGTAACAAATTCGCTCTCTCCTTAAGACAGGTCACTTACTTCCAACTTACTTTTCTGTATTCTGGGCAGAAATAGACCGCAAGTTGGGTGGCAACCTCCGTGACTTTTGCCAAAGTTGGTTCGAGGGTTTCCATGTCATGCAACGCTTCCGAACTTTCCTGTAGCTGGGCTCGAATCATGGTGACAGAAGTGAGTTCCGCTTTAGACACTGAGTCCAAATACTCGTGCATGTCAGCTAACCACTTCTCAATTCCTTCTAGCTGATTCTGTAGTATTGTGAGTGAAAAGATTGACAAATGAAAGGCAGATCAGTGGTTGGAGTGATTTCTACCGATTCTTACTCTACGGTCTGGACTTCGGTGGAGTTACAGAAATGTATACGTGAGGCCCTAAAAACACCGGCAACTGAAAGGGCAAGATTGAAAATGCTTTCGTTTCAGATAAAAAGAGGGGTAAAATTACTACATCAACTTTGTATCCACATGAGAGGTAATTCATGTCAAGCGCAATTGGAAGGGTTATAGGAAACCGTTTCTTGGCAAAATGACACCTCACATTACCGAGAAAGTATGCAAGGAAGGCATTTCAGCTGCTAGAGACCGGATTGTCCATATCGGAATAATTCATACGTGTGGAAAAGGATGGGCGCAGTATACTCACCATAAAGAATTCCACTTGATCGTTTGTATCTTGAAGGCTGGTGATACGATTTTTCAATCGTGCACATGTGACGGTCAAACGCGCGTCATTTGCCGTGGCTTGCTCACGTAAGTGACTGAAACCATTCGCGGTGAATAAGTCTCGCTTAGAGGCCAGTTGCATCAACCGTTTCTGCTCGTCCAACAGATCTCGGAGAAGAGTCTGCAGAAACCAAGGAAAAGTCGACAGATTAATATAAATCACATTAGAAGAGATAGTCACAATCATGTTCCGCTTGAGAGAAGTAAGATGGTATAGAAATAGTAAAGGTACATGATACTTAAATGAATCAGATATAGATTAGATTGACTGTGAGATATAAGCTAAGCGAAAGGAGATCTATGGGTGCATTGACAAACGTCGCCAGTAGGAGTGTTTTCAGAATATAAGGTGATAAGGAGTTCATCAGAGAATCAGGATTATACCCTTTGGTGGGTAGTCCATACTTACGCAATTCCTCTTTAAACACGGATGTTAACCTGGCTGCTCCAAACGTGTCGAAGATGGTAAGCCATTAAGCAATTGATAAAACAATCCTAAAATGCAAAGCGATGGAATCTGCACGTTTTCGGAAAACGTCTGTAGTAATGATTCTTTTCGTGATGGACGTACACCTGTCCACAACATTTGAATGATGATCCTGGGGATGATTGCGCTTGTAACCTAGTCCCCAAGCTGAGGGCAAACCTGGTAGTACAGTCTACATTGAAGGAACACGTCAGAACAAGGGTTTGACGCGCCTTCCAAGTTTATCAGTAATTAGAACTGCTTGCAAATTGATTCACGGCGTTGCAACCATCAAATCGACTTTGAATACTCTGTGCTGGAAGTAAAAAACCGGAATGAACAGATGGAGAGGAGGAAAGAGCTGGATAATTACATGAAAGGGAACAAGGGATTCGAGCAACGGGTGTTCCAACCAAAGTAATCCGGCTATGTGACCACGCCGATTGGGTGACGTTTGACTGTTGCCAACTTAACCAACTCAAGAGAATAGCCTCATCTAGCCAAAAGCATCATTAGTAAAGGTAGCGACCGAGAAGCAGATATCGGTGATTTTCCGGCCAGATGTGCTCTCACATTCACTGACATTACTTTCTGAGTAAACCGTTTACTTTTAGAAGACCGACCTTCGCGGATACGCTTCCGTGCATGGTCATGTAACTTTACGTGCACTACTGGCTATATGTACATTTATTCTAATTTTCAACTTGTCCGCTTTTTTAGCAATTTTAGCTGATAGAACACTACAAAATCTCCTTTGGAACTATAAATAACAAGAACAACTCTACTATCTGATTATATTTTACAGAATAATCAAATCACTGAGTCGATGTATGGCTCGCATTGTCGGTAAACATCTCATTTATTTATTACTTGTAATTTTATTCCTTGATTCATTTATGCATTTTTCGGCAGTGGCTATAATAAAACAGGTCTTAGTTACCAAGCGTACCAACATAACACAATCGATTCTTTGGAGATCCATGAACACTGGGTTTAGTTCGCGACATTCAGTATCAAAATAGGTAGCTGTTTGTGTAGAAATCGAATTTCACGAGGTCACCGGCAAGAACCACGATTGGAGGAAGTCTTGTAATGTTCGTTTGGTCTACGAGAATGGCGTTAGTTGATGGTTACGAAGGAGAGCATTATGTCCTACTCGATATAGGCAGATCTTTGTGTTGAGAATAGAAGGATTGAGGAATTTCATCATTTCGGTTGCGTAAACTGACCTTCATATTATTTAGCTGTTCTTCCAAGTCGTCTGGACTTGTGAATAGATTTGACTCGCTGAGGATTTCATCCACTCGGGGTAACTGATTGCCGATCTGCTCCAGCTGTGAGGCCATTTCTATGAATGGAAGCCAAACAGGAAAGTTAGTGTAGATATGAAGTAGGGGGTTGAGCTCACATCCACCGAGAACTAGAGGGGGAATGAAATGGTTGAGAATTTAGTGCGCATTGGCTGAGGCATCAAAGTATAAGTAAGTCAATCATCATTCTCACGACTAGGGTTTCATTCCACGCCCACGCTCCACGAGTAGTGGTATAGAAAACAGATGGCATCCTTGCTCAATCATGGGAAGTTGACGTAGTCAGGATCCGGACAACATGAGAAGCGATAGTCTAAGTCAGAAACGCATACAGTTCGTACTATAGTGGATTTTTTCATACTAACCAGAGAGGCGGACACTGTTGAATGTGTTTTCTTGGTACGGCGTATCTATGTGCACCGGCGTACAGATTTGATGAAGAGTACGGCGCCGGAGCTGAATGTGATACAGTGTCTGACACTCCGACGCATAACAATTAATTTGTAGTTCGATAATGTAGACATGTTTTCGAGACGCTACCATTCTGTGAAAGCGATCTCAGTGCCGGCGTACAAACATCACGCAAGTTGGAATGCGAATTTTACTAATGAAGGGTTGAGATTGACCTAGTTGCCATAGGTATATCTACTGGGCACTCTGTATGTCCATCATAAGGAGCGAGACTATTGCGCTAGGTTACTGGTAACTACATAATACTCTTATGAAATGACGCTACATGTCTCATAGAAGCTGTAGTCAGTGCCACCCGCTGAGGATCTAGGTTAATCAGTGTCTAGGAGATTTGTGATAATCGTATATAGCAGACTCCATGTAAGGTCTTGTGAGTTTGGTGGAACAAACCGTGGAAAATTCAGGGCAATGGAAGACAACGAAGACAGTGAAAGACGTGCCAGCACTACTAGAAGGTTTGCCTAGCAGTTACTCCATCGCTATGCCGAAAGTAACCTTAAGTTTTCAACTGGTAGCCTGCGTATTCTGTGGGTATCTCAGACTATTTAAAAAAGTATATCCATTAACAGAACAAACTATATCAGTAGTTACCATTATTCAGTCGTCTCAACTCAGCAAAATCGAATATTCTCAAAGAAGGTAGTTATAATGATCACTGCATCTACTTTTTGACCTCGCAGATGAATTATCTTGCGCAATTTCCAGTAGATAGCTGGATTCAGTGAAGGATTGTTGTACTTATCGGCAACAGACCAGTAGCTTATGCCAACACGTAGTTTCCAAACAAATTTGACTCCTTCAAAATTATATATATATATATATATATATATATATATATATATAGAGAGAGAGAGAGAGAGAGAGAGAGAGAGACAACCATTGAGAAACCTCCTGGGCCAAACGCATCGGTTCCGAGATAGTTCCGCTGTCGGCCATCACGGTCCTTAAGCATCACAGCCTCTAGAATTCCGGTACCTTGTTACGAGACAGTCTGCACACCAAAGGCAACCCAGTTACTAGCCGAAAAATGCAAATATGTATTGCTGGGTAAGCTGTGACAACAATAACCATCGTGACCATTTGGACCGCAATTTTTCATGTTTCTCAACCGTTTAGGTTGGATGGTTTGAACGGTGTTTTGCATGGTCATATGAGATAGAAACCCATGACCGCCCACTGTTTCCCAAAAAGCAAAACTCTGGGAGAGCTTTTCGGTTTGCACAAGTCTGACCTTCCTAGATGTAAAAATAATCATCGGAAGATCGGTAAGCATGTGAATGATGTTTCAGTCACTCATACGATATGACTGCGCCATAAGTCGGCAACAACAAGATCCCGTACCATCACTATATGAAGGCAGTAAGAAAGCGTTGCATTTGCATCCGTTTAGGGAAAAGGATCACCTATCGCGGATTCGATGTCCATTGTCTCGGATACACTGATTACCATACCAGGTAGGACTATTAGTAGTCAGGCCTCATCAGTAAATTGATGCAGTTAAAAAGTCGAGAGAATCGAATGATACTTGTCTGCAAACGACCTAGTTCTTCAAAGGATTAGTAGGGGGCTTGGAATGGTGCAGGCAGACAGTTAGACATCCAATACACACTTGGAAAAACACTGCACGGCTGTTTCATCCTTTCGCGAATCGTCAGCAGTGCGCATTTATTCTGACTCCTGTGAGGTTCGAACACGCAACTCCACCGCTACCAGTCTGTAGTTGAGACCAATGCGCTAAAGGGGACGGTAAAGACCGCCGTGACTAAGTTACTAGGTGTGATATAGTGTAGCTCACTATCAGCTGACTTGCACGTTACTACGGTGCGAAAGAAGAAGTAGCCCCCTCACCAAGCGAGGAACCTACCCAACTTAATTCGCTAATTAACTTGTGGCATCCTAAGCGGTTTGGTCTGCGTACTGATTACAAAGGAGTAGTAAGGAGCTGAATGATATCATGTGCAAGTAATTGGATACTGAGCGGCGCTACATCATACCTAGTAACTTAGGCACGACGGTCCTAGCCATCCCCCTAGCTCAGTGGACTAAAACACAGACAGGTAACAATCGAGCTGCAGGTTCGAGACTCCCAGGGGTCAGGTCGAACGTGCAATGCTAACGATTCCTGAAAGAACGAAACGGCCGTGCAGTGCTTTTCCGGGCATGTGATGGCTGCCTAACGAAGTCTAGATGTGACGCGTTTCTACTATACCATTCAAATTCCCCTACTACGAATATCAGGAAGAGAAGGAGACCTGGCGTAAAAACCAAAATGCCTTAAGCAAAAATTCAGAGTCAGAGTGCCTACACCTTGTGTCAACAACGTGCTGTCACAAATAGCTGACGAACGTGCAGAGATAAGGCTGCATCAGTGAGACAGCTTCTTTGCAGCTTTCAATGCCCCGCGTCATGATCTGCCAAACGCATTATAAATAGGCAGTCTGACTACGAGACGACAGTAGGCACGCCACCGAAGCTGACTGTAAGCTATAACAGGTAACGTCACGAGCCTAGCGCAAGGCGATTCGCATGAATTCAAGCACGGAATCCAAACGGACTAACGACACCGAGTTTAGTCACCAGGGACTTCATTTCTCTGCTAAGTTAACTTTTGCCTACTTCGGGCCTTCCGTCACCCTACATCTAGCAAAGAAAACAAGGCCCACCTCGGTAAGCGGTGACCAGGCATCCGTAGTACATGACCAAGCCAACGTAACTTATTCACTGCTATCGGTTGTCCTAAGGAATTAGCCTGATTATCACTACCTAGCAGTCGTCTATACATATCATCGTTGCTGACATGTTGATGCTATCCGACACCAGCAATGCTTCGCAGACAGCGATGATCGAGGGCTTGAAGGCGCCTCAAGTGCTCAGATCGAAGGGGCCAAGTCTCACTACCATAGAGTAGGGTGGCCATCACAGTAGCCTTATAAACATGACCATTCAGACCGATGGAAATCCCTTTCTGATGCCACAGATTTCACAGATACAAAAAGGCAGTTCTAGCTTTTGCAATACGTGAAGTGAGTTCAGTGCTGATGCAGCTGCCAAAGAAAGTGAATTGATCAACCACCCCGCATTCCTCACTATCAAGGGTCAAGGGGTTATCAAGTGCTGGTGGTCCTACAAAAACACTGCACTTTGAAGCCGCGAAGCGCTTAAAAATTAATGGGGCCACTCCTTAAAGGTTATTTAGGGTTGATTGCGTTGTTCTAGCCTCGTTAAACCGCAAGATAATAACGTCCGCATAATCGCGATCAAATAGCCTTTCACCAGGCAGCACCTCAACGCCTGCATCGTGAGGCTTCACAAGGGAACACTTCATGAGGGAGTCCAAGACGAAGTTGGAGAAAAATGGGGAAATTGGGCAACCCTGACGAACGCCATTTGTTGTCGGAAAAAAATCGGACAAGTCAGTCAAGACACTGAGATGACCTGTGGCGTTCAAGTACAGGACAGGTAAAGTGTACAAATATTTCACAGGAACGCCTTTTCATGTCAAGAAGGCACTTATGTACCCAGAACGGGTGAATATTCAACCTTTCCGCACAAGTCCCTCAAACAGAATGGATCGATCGACTGAGTCGGACGCACTTGAGAAACACAAAGATTGTCAGTCTGCGATACGTGTTGCGCTGATCTAGTGCCTGCTGCAGTGTGAATATGTGGCCTATACAGCCTTGTCCAGAGTGGAAGCCTGCTCGCTCTTCCCTAATCCGGGATTCCCTTTTCACTGTGAGCCGGTGAATGAGAATTGAGGCCAGTACTTTTGTCACCACATGCGTTAAGATAATACCCATGTGGTCAGCACAGTCGGTGCAAATATAATCGATTCACTCTAGTCAGCTGGGATGGTCTATTCCTTCCAGACTTGTTCGAACAGTGTCAGTGCTTTGCAGAGGATTTCACTACCTTGCTTAAATAGTGAGGATGAGAGAAAATTCGGGCCGGCAGCTCAAAGGCGACTGAGGTCTGTGATCGCGTTTCGAACCTCGGCCTACGACAGAGCCTCTCAACTAACCGACCGTGGCCCAGCCTGCATCATTTGTTTACGAAGAGATTCAGGACGAGGGGGCCAAGTGAACTGCTATCGAAACTGCTCCGCCAAAGCAGCCATACGGTGTTCCCCATTGTGAATCATGGCATCCGCGCTGTCTCTGACTGTCTTGCTGACGCCAGGTTTTCTGGGACCAGTAGTGCGGATCAGTTGGAAGAGCTTGCGATAATTGCCTACTGCTCCAACCATCTACATCTCTTGAGCACTAGTGCTCCACCAAGCTTCCTTGTCACCACGAAGGCTCCGTTTTAGCTCACGCTCAGTGGTCCGTCTAGTTTTTTGGTGGTCGGAGTCTGCTGGGAGTTTTCCTATGGATTCCAACACTTTCAGCGTCCTCTAGGATATCCAGTGACTGGTGCGTTAACGATTGTTAGTGCCGCAGGCAGAGGCATCAACAGTAGCGTGTTTTCGTTTGTCCTCACTGATGTATGCAGCAGATACGGCGACCCTTGATAAGCTGTGTGACGGCCGATGCAGAATGTGGTTGAAGTTTGAAGAAATAATCATGGTTGTATGTGTGATGAAATATTACCAGAGCATCCAGACCTAGACAGGAGAACGATTAGGGTCCTCAATAAAAGTCTTCGGCTCAAAATCCTACCCACAAGGCATTGGATGTGGCAACAATTGGGTGTTACAGAAATGGACGCCATCCAATCTCAAATCACGAACCCGGAGGAGCAGGAAACTGAGTTCGTCTGACCTCTAACCATTGACCAACCTGGTGAGAGTAGCTCCCAAGGAGCCCGAGGACCCCACCCAGTATAGCTAAATGGGTCGAAAGGTACGCAAACCGTCGCTCCACGTTAAGGTTCAGTCTCGCTACAACGGATGACTCCATGAAAGACCGTAGGTAGCCCAGTAATCTGTTGTTCCAACAGTTGGTCTGAAAACTCAACTCCGTACTCTTTGCTGAACTGCACATAACCTAGATAAACAAGGTACGGATACTAAAGATCCGCGTAGGTGAAACATTCACCTCCTATCTGGATAATTTTGACCTTGTGGAGTGAAGTTCTGCTGTTGCACAAAAACCGTTGCGAAAGTTTGGTGCAAAGCAACTGGCGCTTGTGTGCATTACGCAGTCACTAAGCAAAAGATACTGATAAGCTGTTATTTTGCACATCACTGAATCTAACCTTAGAAGCGATCGGTTACTCCATCCAAGCGGACAACCGCAGCACGTCTGGGGGTCAAGCCCCCGAAGAGATCAGTGCGTGCAAACCCCAAGTTAGCGTAGCTTTATAAGACCTGTACCGCTTAACGCATGGATACGGAACATTGCAAACGTCTTTCGACGACACTAAGGGACTATACGCCTGTGCACACTGATATCAACAGTTGCGGAGAGAAGGAAATGTCGGCCGATAAGAATTTAGCAAAGTACTCTCCGTCTGGTCAGGTGGAGCAAATTTCATCTCAAATCCTCCGACCTCCTGCGTAGGTGCTTGTGTTTGCTCGACGCTGTGCCCCAGGATGCCATGGAGTAGGTGTTTACCGTGTCCCTGGATGGATTTCCGGGAATCGCTACGTCCGTGGCAAAGATCTTATCCGTTGTGATATAGCCCGGAGATCAACCAATCCTTTGCCTTCCGTCTCTTGCCTTTGACGTCAGAGGCAGAAATAAATACAATCGATTCCCGTATCCGAGGTTCAAGCCGCATTGAGTTTCGGTGGTGTTGTCCACGTGCAGTGAGAGGAGACAATACCAGTTAAACTCGCTCATGTCTCACCACTTTCGTGATGTTGAGTCACCCAAAGGGACGCCTTCCTGAGTTCGAGACGAAACGTGGAGGCACAAGAGTGGTCAGATACTAAGAATAAAAGCTTTTTACATGGTGTTCGTATATGATTAGTCCAAGAGAACTAATGCTGGCAACCAGGGACAAGCACACACCTAAAATAGCCACGATCATTTGGTGGTCAGTCCATAAGACCAGCAGAGATGGCATCGGTGGTGGGGGGCAAATAGTATTGAGGTGACCTATTGCCATTCTTTGAGTGCAACTGGTTTCTGCATCGCGACACAAATAAAATAGTTTGTGTAGCCGAGTATTCGGGTTCTTTCTGTCCTTACTTTGTTTAGAAGCTGAGGAATAAAACAGCTTATGGCTTATGGCTACGTGCTGGAATATTCAATGGACTTTGAAAGTCCTCAGCTAGTTTCTGTTTACTATGTATTCTCTCTTTCTATTCTCTCTTATCCAACTTTGCTTTTATGTGGTGGCGGAGCAATTCATCTCAACTGGACCCATTGTGATCGAGAAGTGTAGTTCATAGAACGAACTCGATAAAGAATGGTGATGGGAAGAATCCCCTTGGTTATTGTCCAGATTGTACTGAATAAGCGATTTGATCCCCAGAGTCTTCCGTGAGAGTAGCCGTGTCTAAAGTTAATGCTGTGTTTACAGCACAATATCACACTACTGTGTGAGAAAAAGGCTCCAGTTTATGTTGTTAATTTCGGGAAACAGGAGATGATGGATCTCAAAGTTATAGGATTATTCTCAGCATCCCTTCTTGTCGATAGCTACCCTCTGCACAGTCAGTACAAACGAACTATGATTTCCTTGACCTCGGTCTACTCGTCCACATATAACCACAAAATTATCTAACTGAAAACCATGGCGGCCGAATTCTGCTCAAAGGGCACACATATCCCAAAAGTCTGCAGTAGGTAAACAAGGGATCAGGGAATAAGGATTGTTTGGGTATAAGGTCATTAGTAAGAAGGATTTATCTGGTCAACTCAAAAATGATGTTACGATTAAAGCTAGGGGCCGGAAGATTTTGTTGTAAGGTGTGTGGAAACGAACCAACGTACGTTCGCGCAACTTTTCATTTGAATCCAGCGGAACTGGTGGTGCCACTTCCGTGGTGACATTTCCGCCACCAGAACTCATCTCACGACCACTATCTTCGTGCTGCGACAGTTTGAGAATCTTGGACACTTCCTGTTGAAACTCCATTCGGTTTGTATTCACCCGAGCCTGACGTTGAGCTTCGTCCAATAAAGTGTGTAAGTAGCCCCAACGCTCTTCGACGTCTTCGAACAGCTGATCCAGCTCTTCTATGTTCTCCCCAACTAATTGTGCATGAAAAAACGTTGCTGGTTACTTCTCATGCAAAGTGCCTGAAACGGTCTAATTTACATGCTATGGATAAACAACATAGGAGCACCACTCGTTCTGTTTCCAGTTAGCAGTTCAGGTGATGATATGAAATGAAGTACTGGGTTTACAAAAGGAGTGGTTCATGAAATCAGAATAACGTTTATCATTGAGCACGTTTCCTTTGGCTAAGATCTGGAATGCAGTAGCTGTTTAGACTGATGAGTAAATCAGTCGCTTCAATAGGATGGTTTAGCGAATGTAAGTAGGGGCCGATAACTAGGCTTAAATCGTCTAACTAGTGTGGGTTTTTTCCTCTCTGGGTAACCCCGGACAAACAAGGAGAAAAAGCTTGGTTTCCACCAACGTACTCAAACAGCGCAGTAGTCTATGCAAGGAGTTAAAGGAGTAAAAAATGTGCTGCACTGTAAAAATGCGCAAAATTAATGTTCCTTACCGCGAATAAAAGTTGGTTCATGGTGCGTTTAATGTGACTATAGTTCAGCCATATTCGACTGTAGCTAATTTTGGATCTTGTCTGAACAGGCATGCTATCATAAACAATAAATCCATAGACTTTTGTTCGGCTAGTCCCAAAAGTGGCATTAGCACTGCGTCGGCTACCCGGCACTTGCCACGTTATCAAACAATAATGGAGCTAACCGTTCGAATCACCCTGCGCTGTAAGTTCACTAAACAACTGTTTTCTCTGCTTATCGCTCATTAATGAAGGCGCAGAAGTAATTCACCAATCGGCATAATCCCTTCACACCTCTCACACTAAGCATGTCCAGTGGAATAGCATTCCGTTGGGGTCTTCTCGAAGTATTTAAGAAAATGCCTGATAGACCATTCGGAAACATTGTAGAAAACTAAGCCATTCATCTTTTCTTGCGCCTACCCGTGTGACTTAACCAGCTCACCTTACGTTACAGCTGGAATAGTGTCTATCCAGGCTCATTACAACGCGACCCATGTCCCTGGTAAAATGTTGAGTTGGGTCCGCTTCAGAAAGGATAATTCACGAGAACCCCAGAGAAGCTACACACGCTATTCGCGATAGCGGGCCTGTGGCTCCAAGTTACCATTCCCACATACCACTGCCGTCACGTTTATGCAGCACGAACACGCAGCAATTCCGGTTGGTGATTTATGTCTTATTTAAGCATGTAGAGCTCAGTTAACTAAAGAAAGGGAACAGCAGTGTTTGGAAACTTGGTTGACTCAAATGGAACAGGAATTTGACCGCACTGTACTTACCTAGTACAGACGCAGTAGAAACTTCAACTAAGTGTCCGTCTTCGCAAATCGAATATGTGGAAAGGTGTCATATAATATTATTATCTAACCATAGTGGTGAACGTTATATGGTATAGCGAGGTTTCCCAATGATATCGTCTGCTCAAAAGGTACTGAACAAAGATGTGATTTGGTTGACCTGTATACTGGACAGCTATTCGGAACAGGAATTAGATGACGGTTAACTTCTAGGGAAACGGATGGTTACCAGTGAAGTTGGATGTGAGTAAGATTTAGACACTTAAACCAAGGTGAACGATCGCTGGACGATACTGAACAGGTTACCACATTTGGGAACTCGTTTCACCCATCAATTCCTGAATTGTCAAATGATATCCCGATAGAATGAACCTTCACTTTTGCACAGTGGAAGGAGTACTTGATCCGAAGGAATTGTAAATCACAGCGATACCAAGCAACAAGCGAAATATATAATCATCTGAGCTTTAGGCTACGATTGTATCCTCTAGCCGATTAAGAACATCACCCTTAATTGATTGGGTGCTGAATTAAGTTGATTTCTATAGGCAGCCCATTGTGTCGTATGTCGGGTGTCTAAACTACTGGTCAGAGGTACAGTTGAGACAAGAAATTCGTTTGGGACTCAGGCAAATTCCATAAAAATAGAGAGGATTTCGCCTACTATCCACACACAATCCGCCAATCTTGCGATAGTCGCATGGTGGGTGACTTAGAACAAGTGATTAACGCCGTCGCTCCGTGGCGATTTGGGGCAAAGCTTTCCACAGTGAAAGTTAAAAAAGATAGTTGTGGGGGAGAAGGTTTGCACTGTCAAAAACCATTATTATGTCAAATTTAATCTGTTGAAGTGAACCGAGAGAGCAAGTTTATGTGACCGAATAGAAATCGAGATTAAGGCTAGTGTGAAATTCCTGTTATTAGATTTAAAAATCCAGTTGAAGAAAAAGATAAGGAGGAGAAAAGGTGAAGCAACACTTCGAGGAGGACACCATATAAAGCCTACTCAAAGGGAATCTATTATTACTATAATCTAAGTCGAATGTGTTGAGTGCTACTCCGAGCAGGATAGTTTGGTTGTAATTGAGTTGTTTGGTGCGAAGAACCAATCGGCGCCGCAGCAGCCAACCCGAGATACAGATGTGTCGATTCGTTGGAAGCCTCAGACAAGTCACTAATTCATTAGTATGCACCGAGTTAATGTTTATGAGTTGGGTATCGTGTTTTAAGTATGAACCATCCGTGTCTCAGCCACTAATGTTTACTCGATGATCCAGTTGTGAACTTGGAGCATTAAAGAAAAAGCGGACAGTAAGAATTCGTGACGACCCATTACTTTACATCCCAGGTGAGACACTGGTTGGACCACCGATTACGGTGTCCGATTCCCTTTTGTGTAGCTGTCACACAAGAAGGAAGGCTAGGAAGTAAAATGATGTGTGGTGGATGACACCGAACTTCGGTGCACACTCTGTCAATTGTTCCGAATAGCGATTAAGGTGATTGAAGTGACCCACATAGAAATGACATAAATTGAGTAAGCCACGCACCACAAAGTCGATTGGGTTACTGCACCCAGTCGGATAGCAATCATTTCTATTGATTCTATGCCTAAATCGTTACGAGGAAAGTGGAATTACGACTAAATGCGGCAATGCCTCAATTAAATCCCCATCAAAAACAGCACGAAGGCTTTATGTGCTCAAAACGAGAAATATGTGTAAAATGTACGATCATCGGCACACACCCTCGAGGAGTTCCTCACGATATCTTTCGCCCATAGTGAGCACTTGTTTCATGGTCTGGCGCCACTCGGTTACTTCTCTCGAGATTCGTTCGATAACTTGTACAGCGTTCTCGGTTCTGTCAGGCGCAGTCACGTGAGGAGATACACGTCCGACAGCTTGAGCTTGCCCTGCAACCTCGAGGGCTCGATTTCTCTCCATGGTAATCAACTCCAGCGCCTCCGCACTGTTTTCTAACCAGTTCAACAATTCTTCTGCTTTCGATTCGAACTCTGCTCTGTAACCTGGGCACAAACATAGATGTTGAAGACAACCGTTGATAATTCGATGCATGGAAAGCGAGATGGAAAGAGAACACCAGGGGTCTAAAAACGCGTTGGCAACTAAAATGATCTGCAGTGTAAAAATACTGCGTGGTAGCGAAGCACGATTTAGATTGGCACAGATGGAAGCTCCGGTGGACTTTACTGCTGTGCAGGAGGAATATACCACATTTACTGAATTCTTTTAATGGTATAGGTGACAACTAGCTTAGAGATTAGAATCAAGCTTAGGACCCCTTTGCCGTGGTTTGTACCGGTGCCATTTAACACAAGGTACAAATGTGATATTAGAGTGACTTTTCATTGAGGGCAGACTGGATCTTGCACTTGGAAATAAAGTATCCTTAGATGGGGGATAAATAGACACAGCTGAGTAGCGCAGCTGCTCAGAAATAGGCTGAAACGTTTGATGCCATTACCAGTTAAATTGCACCAGCGTTATTAGTACCAATGCTCAGCAGAAGCGCTCATATTTGACCGGATAAAAACACTTTTGAAGATATCTGCTTTGCCGAGGGTATTGCTGGATCGATATCATTACGTTTATTGCAGGATCCTTACCACCCACGGCCTAAAAATTTGGTCAAGAAGAAAGGCAAACCACGGAATCGGATGACTATATGTAATCCACATGGATAGGATCGTTTAACTACACGCTGTCGGTGACAAAGTAATTTCGATTACCCAATTCGTGAATCTCCACTTCAAAGATGCCCTACACGGTCCTTCCACTCCGAATTGTGGGCTGAGAACCTACGAGTGGTCGTGAACGGAGGAGACGGCTATCTTGTACATTACCAGACATCTAGTGGCTGCGTGACCCAACCTATTTGTGGTAAATCCAAGCCAGAACATTTAGATGTTCACACTATTCCCCAAGAGATTGATCATAGTGAATGTCAAATAGCGAATCACCCGACGAAATCACAGAAGACAGTGCATAATCGCCTTGTCCACTGACTGTCTAGTTGTGTTCGGTGCCTCAACTCGGCGGAATATTCGACAGCGATGTCATCTTACGTAATCAAAGCGGTTAAGCTATGATCCGTGAGCAACAGATCGTGACTTAGTACATCCAAACGGCGTTGTTATACTTTTCTAGCGGAGGCGGCAGTCACTGTATCTACATTTAACCGAGGAGGAAGGGGAGGTTTTGTGCACAATGGCGGCTTTTACAACTTTTAGGAGATCAGGATGGTAGGGTTTCAAAGCCATCATTGATGACCAAGATCTCTGGATACGTCTGAGATATCAGTGTGTTACACAGTACGTATGAAGAAGTCCATAATGTTTGAACTCATTGAATGGCCGGGTACTTCGAGGGAGAGGAGGTTGTTTTGTCCTATAAATCATTAACTATCCCCGTCAGCTGGGTGCTTTGGGTAAGTAATTTCATGAAATCCTACCACGCGTTTAGCACGGTACTGTGGGATCTGACTCAAGTTCCAAGTGGATTCCTTGAGTGCTGTAGCACTATTAAACGAGCCGGCTGGATTTGTGCCACTGTGTCAGTAACTCACCTGTTGGCGATGGAGGAGGAACATCAGCTCCTGGGGTCTTAGGTACCTTTAACTTTTGTTTATCTGGAATTAGGAGCTCCGAGCTTGCCTGATGATGGGAATCCGTCGTTCCTGGATGAGCATTGGATACATTCTTCTGAAACAGGAAAAATAAAAGTCTGAATCACTGGCAATATTGATCCACAGCAAAGCAAATATTCCCATTTCAGTAGCAAAAATCAAGACCAAAAATGAGTGTCGGGCTAGGAATTCCTTTCTGAGTCAAATGTGTACATGTCCAGGAGTACGTGTTGTTAGAGTCAAATCGGGCTTGAAAATTGAGTTCTTAATTGTTTGGACAACCAAACACTCGAGCAAATATCACAGTTAGAGCACGTTGTTTGGAGAATAAACCTGAATTTCTTTTGATAAATTTCTCCTTTCATAAGGTGACACAAGAAAGTAATACCTGCTACAAAATAAAGATTACTGTTAGTGCTTAGCAATGTCTAAACAACAGTTCGTGATTTAAACCTGGTTACGTACGGTTTAATTTACTCATTGACCGCACAGCGCACTGTTCATATGATCACACACAAAAACCGCAATCCAACTACAGTGAGCTTTTCAGAACCAAAAATGGAATTCACAAAGACTGCACCTGGTGTCGCACTCAGGACTCCGTGGTCCAGTATGAAGTGTGGCAGCCTACAGGGCTCCATGCCTAGCACCGGCTATCTCCACCTAAATTGTCCGAACGCAGACGAAAAAGTCGTGGAACACAATGTTGGAAGTGAACAAACACTGAAAACTTCCTCACTTCGGACACAGCGCCAGAAATCGGGATGATCCCGATTAACTTGAAATTAACTCATGGCCTGAAAATTGTGACTGGGTGACGCAATCCAAACGCCTTTGTAATAAATATCGTGACAACATTCCTGGGTCAAATTGACTGGAGACTAATGTAAAAGTGATCAGGATACGTTAAAGTTGATATTAAAGATGCAAATGATCAAAGATGGTGTTGTTGCTACTCTTTACCCTTATGCACGTGCTGTGTTGCTCGGATTCCTTATTAGCCGGAAGACTACGAGAAATGAGAAATAGTTAGATGTTGCTTATGAAATAGTTTGAACGCGTTCACTGACACAGAATCCTCACCTGAGTTTCAGTCGCTTCACTACCTTGATTCATATAGTCTTGTGTGATATCAATATCCTTACTATATCGATCGATCCAGTCTTCAGTGGACATTTGCGGTTCGGTCAGCTGACTCCAACGTGAAACCAGTTGATCCACTGTGGCCTCAACCAATCGGCTAACTTGCTCCGTGTCGCCACATGCTTCCCGAACGGCCTGAGCCCGCCGGTCTAGGCTAGCAAGTAGTTGGGCCCAACGAGGTTCGTGTGTATTTACACAGGCCTGCATGTGAAAACAAGATAGAAGGTAACATTACCGTTCGTACAGAAGCCACAACACATTGGGAGAGGTTTCGGGAGACAGTTTTGTCCTATTTAGAATCCTCTCCAGGGAACATTGCCACGAATCGCGACTGATTAGACTACACGACTACGTTTCTCGACGTGGCAAACTAAACCACTGGGCCATGAGTGATGGTAACGGACAACCATGACTGATCGCTAGCTGTTTGTAAACTGCTGATGAAAGCACTGTTGACTGACGAGACTACGAATGGCACAGACATACGATGCTCACCCCACTCCACAGTAACTCCCCCCATGTTCTAGTCATTCACTTGTAGATGCGGTAGCTGGGTCAACTTTTGAAATGTCAATCAATCATTCCTCACAGAGAAAGTGATATTAGATTCCTTCGTCAAACATGTACAGGAGACAACTGGAGTAGGTAGCGACAAATGTCACTCGGAGTCATACATCTGAGAAAGGCTTGATGGACAATTGAATTTCGGATTGAAGGTAGGTTGTGATCGTATAGTATCGGTGATGGTGATCGAAATGCAACCCATCTGGCACTTTGTCGCAGATTTCCTAACATGCACCGAAAATTCAAAGACAAGCCGCTCAGCCAGGAGAGCAGCAAGCGCTGAGGTTAACAGGCAGGTCACATCATAGGTGGGTATCATAGTGGTTTGTGCGATTGTTGAGTAGGCATTAGATGGGCAAGTAGGCAAAAAAAGTAAAATGGTCAAGTATAAAAGATGAAAACAAAGAGGGCATAGGTTGCGGAGTAGTAATAAGAAATCGGCAATGAGAATATTGTTCCTGGTGGGAATCTGAAATCTTAATGACGAAATCTCAATCGGCACAGAACCAAACGCACATCGTTCGCCGGTAAAAACAGAAGTAAAATACAAATAGTTCAGGCGGTGGCTGCTCAAATGTTTCTTGTAGACTTCTATATATTTCTCAGGCAAGATCCCAGTGCATATTTCAAACCAGTCAGCTGTGAATAATGAGACCGAAGCCTAACAAGTATCCGTGACTTCTCTTTACGGTATTATAGTGGAACAGTCTGAATATACTATGATGGGATTTTAAAAACTACGCCTGCTTGCATTACAGTGCTCTAGGACGACTTGCATATGCAAAGAAATCAAACCAAACACGAATTCTATGCCTCCACACGTTGGCCAACCTTATCTGGAGATAGAAAATTAAAACTCATTGCGACTTTGTGGTGACATGCATAAACAGACATTCATCGGTCATGAAGAGTGACCGTTAGCAACATCAATAGGGATCCGTATGTTTGGGAAACCTCAGTTGCATGTAGATTGTGTTGCGAAATCCGATGTCAAGCAGACCTTAGATTGAGCTGATTCGTGATCGCTTCGGCAAACTGATCCGAAGGCGAGTTGCAGCTACAAAGCACTAGTAAAGATAAAAGTTTCCCTCCAGAAAAGTTTGAAAAAATGCAGATGAATGATATGGCAGAAATTTCAGCCTTCCACTGTGGGAGACTAAGAAGCCCCAGTTTCTCAAAGATGCCATTATTCCATCTTCACTCAGGTGCTCCCCTGACCGAGTTACAGTCAGTGGTGTTCTCAAGGGATTGGGCGAACAGTGTGGTGGAAAGTGGCTGCTTACTTTGATGACATGAGCTAAATAACGATATCTGCTTCACGTGAACCCATCAGGGACTAAGACCGCTGTGTGACCGAAGCCACAATACATGATCAGCTGCCTAGCTATCGTAGAAAGTTGGGACATAGCTTGTCCAAATATAGCGGATGAGTACATAAAATACCAGAGGCTGAAGTGGTCTGCTTACAGGATGTCATAAAGTTGCATAGCACTCAAACACAAATGAAACGAGTATCTAGAGGTGCCTCACGCACTACAGGGCCTAGGTATGGAGGGGTACGTTAAACCAGAAAGAAAAAATTCGTTGTAAAAGCCCGCTCTTTCACAGGCTTATCAGAGTGCCATTTGCATCAATCGGCAGATGGCTGGAAAATCAAATTACTTTATCGTTCACCCAAGTACATTGTTAAGCTACGGGTGTAGATCGAAAGTTTGTGCAACTCACCATTAAAATGAGGCGTCTTAGTTTGAATTCAAACCCTTGACAAAAGTTGAGTATACCACTTGTAGCCCACGTTCAAGACCGAAGTCCATGGCGCGTTTCCTTTAACATACCTTCGACTACTTGTTAGTAGTGTTGTACTGAATGATTTTGACAGGGCACTTTACCTCAGATTTACGACATTACTCCTAATGAAATGGCCGCTGTTGACATGTTACTTGCGTTACTGACACCTAACTAAATCCGAAGATGCTAGCAAAGTGAATGTAAAAATGCTCACTTCTACCGCGGCAATTTCAGCCTCATTCGCCTCAATAATGGCTTGCATATTGTCTGATGTGATCTCGCCGGTTCCGCCCGTCGCTTCCAGGGAACGTTTGTTCGTATCGGTTTGACATACAGGCAAGGCGGGAGATGTTGTGCTTCGTTCTCGGGAAGATAAATGTGTCGGTCCGGAAGCCAAAATGGCGGTGTTTGCGACTTTCATTACATACGCCACTTCCTCTGATCTTTCGGTTAACCAGTCAGAGAGTAAATTGGCCTCTTCGTCGAAGTGTCTCCAGTGTAAAAGAGCATTTTGCAGTTTTGCGTATCGAGTATTCACCCACTCAACAAGCCGACCCCATCGGCTTGCCAACTCTGTTATCACTGTATCCAAGCCCACTTCCCTGTCCAAAGCGACCCCCTCCTTCCCTACAGGTTTCGGAGGAACCAGCATGATGAAGTTATCCAGACGTTCAGCCAGTATTTCGCCAATCTCAATACCCTCTTCGAGGGAGCGATTAACTTCCAATTGTGCCTTGAGTTCTCGAATAGAAGGGCCGAACGGCAGACTTGCTTGGCGAGATCTGAAGACAGAAGTCAACAAGACAGAAAGCTATAAGAGACTGATAGATCTCCGGTATCCAGATTAAACTACCATAGGCCACTGAGAGAAAAATAAATAGTAGCGCAAGTTGACAAGACATTCATAATATCAAGTGCACCAATACTTGCACAAGACATGTAGCATTCGGAAATGTGAAAGTTATCCACGGCGAAGAGACTGAACATAGACCACGCATCAAAGTAGATCACATAAATAGGAACTTACTGCTCCGCCTCTAGTTTCTCAAGCTGTAAACGTACTGCAGCCAAAAGCATCCCTTGTCGGCGCAACAAACAGCTAGTAATCCGGCGACCCATGTTTTGGCTTGCGCGGCACAAGTTGTTCCATCGAGTAGACAGTAAAGCCGTCTGGCGCTGTATTGCATCGGGGTCCATGACAAGCAAGCGTTCACGGATGCGCAGTTGTTCCTCATCCAACTGCTCATCCTTTGACTGGTTTCTGGTGAAGGGATCCGACGATGCAGCTCGTTCGCGACACGCTTGAATTATACGATTGCCTAACCGAAGACAGCGACCAACACTCATCTGACGGCGACACAGATGAGCCATCAAGTCCTGTATGAAACAGATGTATAAGTGCGCTAATGTACAAATCATCACGGAATAAGCCATGAAGTTGAATTCCCACAGAGAGCGTATCTCTGAATTAGAAAAACGCGGTCAGAACATGGTATATCTCAGTCCAAGACAACTTCTAAACTGAGGCTTTTGGTTGCCGCCTTGGAGCAAGAAGATAAGCTGCATGACAAACTCTAACTGCGGGGTAAACAAATAGGACATGCTCGGTCCAAAGAACTCAACCTATTTGATTATGATAAAGTTTTAGACAGTTTTGACTTCTCTGAGGGCATATAATCTTGCAAATCTAGTATTTTCTCCCGATGGAAAATTAGGAATGCTGGCCAACAGCAAAGGGGGCTTTGCTGAATCACATTTCCGTCTTTTGTATATACTGCTTGGCTGAAACATTAAGCAATCCATCAAATTACTGCAACTGTCAATTGTCTGCGGTAAGTACAAAGATTCATTAATCCATCTTCTGATGTTATGCGTGACCGGGTACAAAGGGCCAGTGACTTCTCCTGATCCATGGGGATAAGAGCCATAGATGAACAACACCAGGCTAAAGGTAACCTCAGCAAAAGGTATCTGTAGCCTGGTTCCTAAATGATTGCGGACCGCATTTCTGCAATGTAGTCACAAAATTGATTCCCGGCTTCATTCGGCTCACACAATCAATTAGCTGCCAAGTGAAACAGCCTAAACTGCTGTCGAGTAGGTCAGCCCCAAGTCGCCGGCTTGGAAACAGCTTTAGTGTTTAATGTATAATCCCCACCGCCCTAAGGTGTGTGGCATATTCGAAGTTAAGTCACGTATTCTCCCTGAAAAACCAGTAGGAAACCCGTAGACACAAGACAGAATGTGGGGCTTAACTACTCTATTACTCGTAGCAGGCAATGGGCGCGACTTCGACGACAGCAGTTGGTACACACAATGATGCCTTGTAATAGCCTACAACCACACGAATGTCATCGATGCACCGCTCTCATCTTTATAGGTATTTTGTAGAAAACTTCATAACAAGGGAACAACACAGTATAGACTCACCTCGTGCACTTCAAAATGCTCCATGGCTTCGTCTGCTCGGCTGCGGATCTTTGTATGAAGCTTCTTGAGGCGTTCAGCAGTGAATGTCAGAAGCGACTCAATTTCTTTCCGTTCTTCCAAGGTCCAGTGAGACAGCTTATTCCACTGATGACGAAAATCTCCGCTACCATACACGGACCAGTTAAACTGTGGGTCCAGCTGCATCGTAGCATCTGAGCCGGTGATGTCATTGTTCGCAAAGCGTTCTTCCATGGCTAGCAGCCATGCCAAAGTGGTCTCAATTGTCGAGTCAAACAAATCAGGGTTGGGCTGAGTTTGATGATGGGATTCTTCGCCAGAATCATCGTCTACTTCGTCGTCTAGCCAGGTTACGTCTGAGGCACTTTCAGTAGAAGGTGTTGGTGAGGAGCAACTCAGAACTGTTACGTTTGCAGCTGGTGTGCCTGAATTGCTTCCTTCTTGACTCTGTGTAGACAATAAACGGGTCATGAACGAAAGGTGCACATCTTCACCCCACGTGTCTCCGTTAATTCGTTGAGTCAAGGCTTGTAAAATTAACCTACTAAATTCAATATTGGTTCCGGCACAAACTGTCCAACGTACTTTGTGAGAAACACGATTGCAGATTAAGAACATTGACATGCGAAGAGTAGAGTTTTTACAAGCATTCAAACAACGCCGTAGAAAGTGTTACAAGCAACCTGTTTATTCGGACATAGGTAGAATGTCAAAAGCGGTGATACACCACAGGTGAGTGTGATTTAGGTCCATGATTCACTGGAGACTGATGCATGCCTGATGTAATGGAGGTTGCCCTAAACACAAAAACAACAATGTGACATTTCCACAACAATATAATCACCGACGAACAACTGATACTTATCAATAAATTTTATTTAACTGTCGAAATGCGGCGGGGTGAGAGTTGCGAATGAATTATGTCCAAAGTTGGCGGATGGGATTCTAGTGGGGTTAGCTAAATTTGGGTTGTGCCTGGCCGCCGAACACTTGTCCCTTTTGTACTACACAGCAGTATGTGCCTCCATAACACAACAAGGAATCCGATCGTGGTCATGATACCGCAATCTGGAGCTGTAGAGTTAGAACTAAGGCAAGTCAGAATAGCCGTCTTGATCGATCAAACGGCCATAAGTTTAGGTAGCTTTCGCTGTACACCAGTAGCCTTATTTGCAAAACCGCCAGGTAGTTCTGAGCCCATGAGCTAAATTGATCCAGTTAATAACTAATAAAGCGTTAGCTGTACGCCGTAACGACGCTTCGCTGCCGCGCGTGAGCTGAGTGTACCGCGAGGACGGCTGCCCCTACGCGGATTCGAGCCGGCGACCTTATGATTGTAAGCCACGGGTGCAGGCCACTCGGCCACCCGCCGACTATTAATCCAGCTACCAGATGGTGGTAGGGAACTTACCATAAATGCCAACGCACGGAAGCAACCGCATCTAAACGGAGAGCTCCTACGAATTCTCACGATAGTCTAACTTGATATGAGCGTTCTCGGGAAGTTTCATCGTAGCCAGGCGGTTAGCACACATCCAAGAGAGCACTAGACGGTCGTCTCACCATATTTAGACTCGTCGGTAGCACTCATCTGTTGGAGCTTGCCGGATTCGAGCCCACGACATTACTAGTACGAGTCAGCAACATATGCCACTGAGCCAAGGGTAACGGCGCTGCGCCACCATGACTGATATCTAATTGCGACATAGTGCGACTTAACCCCCACTGTCACGCAGGTTATGAATGCGCAGAGGACAGGGCTGGCCCCGGAGCTACAGCTACCTTTGCAAGCCGCCATCAACGGAGACGGCATGTGAGCCGCTAAGGCGATTGCTGATTTGTATGTTTATTGTATCACCTAGTCTAGCTGGAATGAGTTTTCTCAAAAACACGATAAATCCGCCTAATACTCCCTAGCGCAACTCGTTAGCTGGTTAGCATCCAATTTGATGTACAAATAATATGCAACCTCCGTTTAGTTCATCGAATCATCAGAGGATATCACTGGCTTACCTTAACAATAGTGAACATATTAAGTGACAGGGCTAAATGGATACTTCGACTGAGTAGCCGAAGCAGTTAGGAAATTAGCTATTGGAACGAACATTATAACAACATGATCATCCTCTCGATCGCGCGTCAAATCTTCGCTAAGTGATGGTGACGACGAATCTTTGTCGCCCGTTAGCGTCTGACAGTCAAAGTGAAACACGAAGAATCTGAACATTATGGCATTAATTGGTAATTATCCCACTTCGTACTTTAAAAGCCAACGATCTGTTTAACAGTGGTAACCTATATTCGGCTGCTCAGATGACAGCTAATCATTGTGGCCTTACAAATCTGGTCCGAAGACCAGGAAATCAAAGTTTTATGGCCTGTTAGTTATTTAGCGTTCGTCATATTAGAAATATGTTCAGGTTAATGAGTTTGATCAACATGGTAGGTAAGTAAGTTTCAGGCGTTCTGGCACCTGAAGGTCTCGAAGGTCTGGCTATTAATAAGGTAGACCACAATCGACGAAAGTAGCACTCGTGACTCTGTCAAATAATGACCTTGAAGCCAGTAGTGAAGACACGAGTAACTGACCATAGCAGCAGTCTGTATTTCTAGCACGCCACGTGAACGGCGCTTCCGATCCCTTTCTACCGCTTTGCGGAATTCGAGGACGTAGGTAGCTGTGGCGCGGGCGTCCACATGTTCCGGATGCATATCCACCGGTTCCAGTAGACGAGGTGTGGCAAACTCGGCTGTGGCCAAGTGAAATGCCAAGGATAAATTTTGGTTAGGTGTTTTGTCCAGCCGAGTTTCATAGCTGAACAAATCAGGACTGTGGCGAAAATGCAGTGTAAAAGGAAGAGGGAAAATAAAGCGAAATAATTACTTGGGTGAGAAGTTGCATACAATAGGATAATGGTAAGCATGATAGCACTACTGTAGGACAGAAAAATAATATAGTTATCAAGAATGAAAAAGCACGAAACGTAAAGTTTTCACCGTAAATGTCGTCTGATGAAATGTGAGCAGTGCCAGTAGACATCATCAGGTGCTCAGTAAATATTTGAATCCGTAGTCACACATGGCAAGATAAAAGGAAACAGATACAAGCGTGTCAAACATCTACAGCACCTACCAAGGAATCAGCAGCGGTCGTGACCAGTGGGATACCCAGTGGTCACAAGCGAGTGATGGAAACAGTTAGGTAATCAGCTAATGCTGTAGCACCACCAGAAACGGTGAAAAATCTGGGCTGCTGTCTCCAAAAACTGTACTTCATGATCAGATTTTCCTACTTTGGATTAATGAGGAATTGGAACTTGTGACATAAAGGTTGACGGCTGCTGTCAGCAATAATATTTTACTTCAACGTGGATTAGGGTTGGTGGAGTGATCTTCACCCAAATGTAGTGTGTAATATTTGCTTCTCTTCGTGGCGATAAGTTGCAGTTTCTTATACATATTTCTTCTACTCTGACTGTGAACGAAACTCCCACACCCAAATCATCCACGATCAAGTGTCTCGGTATCATATTGTCACAAAACTCCACTTGGTCAACGCATAGCTGTGAAAATTTTCATAAACTCAGAACAATTTCTTTTCGTGTCCTAACACTTAAGGTGCTTTCAATACCACGGATTTTTGCTTTAGCATGTGGGATTCTACTTTTGATTTGGGAATACTGTGTTATACGTGTTTTCTCTGTGGGAATTATGCACCAATACCTTTCTTTTAGTGTAGTTTTCCATCTGTACAAATTAAGTGGATACTCTCTACTTTCGGAGATCACATTGATTGGCCCAACTGCCATCTCGGTCCGCCATCTTGGATTTGTTCTACAGCGATCTAACCTTTGTCAACCAGAACCCTGGCTTAAGCGACAACGTTTGGATTCAGCCTACTAGTGTAGACGTTGCAACGAACGATATCCGCAGAACTGGCAGTCAAAGTTGCACGTACTGCTTGCCCATGGAGAGCTAAGTTTTTATTGCTTCCGAAAGAAATGTTAGTTGTGGCGCAGGCAGCTGTGTCAAACTTGTGCGATTTCGAATAGAATGCACAATGCCAAAAATATTTTCACTCTCGCTCTGCTCGCCTTAGTCTCAGCCAAATAAAAAAAGTAATAGTACGAGAGATTCCCTCTGGTTCTGCACTGGGTGTAGGTCATTTCCACTCGTCTGATGCATAACTGTGTTGGCACAGAAGCGCGATAGGCTGACAAAGATTGTAGAGCAAGCAGCAGCCGTAAAAGCTGTCCCGCAAGAACCAGACAAATCACTGCCTCGAACTCGATGCTCAACATCAAGCTCCAATTCAGAACAGGGTAGCCGGACCGAAAATAAGAGTAACGATCCAGAGTTAGCCACCCCGACACTAGTGGTTGCTTATAAAGATGTGTTCGCCACACATTCTTCATCACAACCACCCGCCACATTGAACACTGTTAAAAGTCCGACAACCTACCCGTCGGTTGTTGCCAACCATGTGACAGACGCACCTCACATCGTAACCCTGTCCGCTGCCAAACTAGTTAATACTACCAATACCACCACGGGAGTCAAGACCCCATCAGTTGTCCAACCAAAGAAAGTAGTCACAAGTCCCTTCAAAACGGAGAACATAAAACAACACTATAATTCAATGACTGGTATATGCTCTAATGTGACTGAGTCAAGGGCAAACTCCATAAAAGATAAGCTACTAGATGACAAAAGACAGTGGGACTCCCTGTGTCAACTAATAGGGGTACAGCTAAGCCAGTCAATATGACACGCCTCGTCCGTCATCCAAACTGCGTACACAAGGGTGAACCGCGATAACTCCAAGTAACACATCACTCAGGTAATGATGCAGAGGCAGTTCTCTTGTCAGCCACTCGCCTCCGTACCACCACATGCACTGTTTGAAATTTTCCAGCTGTTCCTTGGAGCAACGCCAGAAACGTAAAATCCGGATGACTTTCATAAACAACAAGAAGTAAAATCGATCCTTGTTCACGGTGTCCCCGAGCTCCAGTCACTAAGCGAGCTAGAGGCCAAAGCGCATGACTGGAACGAGTGACGTTTTATTCTGTAGTGTTCTCACCCAAAAACGTTATCGCTAATTCGACATCAAGGTTACCGCTATCCCCTAACTACAAAGGGTGTGGTCCCCGGGGTGCTGAAAGTATAATTACACTCCGAACTTATGACAGAACATGCGATCAAAATGTGGCACAGAAAGCGTAAAATGCTGCCATCCGAAACACGTATAAAGGCGATAGGCACCGGGCCAAAGATAGATAAGGTAACACTGTGCAGACAATTTACCAATACAATTCCGTCACCGTGTAGCTCAGAAGGGAGACAATACCAAAACACGCCGGCAGCTGAAGGAGGTCAGGATGGTCACTCTCTTTCTGGCGCTGAGAACTCTATACCACAACCTGAACTGGCCCCAGGACCTGCACCATCGGTCTTACAAAAATGCGACCGGCAACCGACCTCGCAATTGACGGCATAGACCTTCACCAGAACTCAGCATTTGTAAACACCCTTCTAATTACTGATACCCTCATCTGCTTGTATACCAATACACAAGGTCTTCCCAGTAAGCTAACCGAACGTCGTATTCATCAGGTCCCGCGCCTTGGGACCTAGTTATGGTCACCGAAACCTGGTTGAACACGGACATCACCGATGCTGAGATTGCTTTACCAGGCATGAATTCCATACGAAACGATCGACCTAGCAGAAGAGTGGAAGTGCTCCTGTATTATCGATCCGACGTGCATGTTGATACCATTGGAGACTCAGAAACGCTAGTCGTCGATTATCATTGGCGTCGCATGCACCTAAGACGTGGTGAGGTGTGTTTACTAGCAATAGTTTACCGCCATCCAACGTCCTTAGAAATGGATCAGAGCCTAGCTTCAGCGGTGAAGCGAGTCCTGGCACGACTACACAGTCACCTCATTCTAGTGGGGGACTTAAACCTGCACGTAATCGAAGTTCCAGCAACGCACAGAGAACAATACAAGGCTGAATTGCAAGAAGTGATTGCCGATGTAACTCTGTACAACCATGTCACCTCACCCACGCGATTCCGAACGGATGACACACCCTCTGTTTTGGACCTTGTGTTAACCAAGGGGGAACTAATGGTCGACACCGTGACCAAAGATGCACCACTTGGCCGTAGTGATCATGCGATGTTGCTCTTTTCTTACATCTGTTATTCGGAGCACAACGCGGAAACCTATATCGTCACACATTACGAAATCTTGTAAAACCTCATTCAAGAACCCGGCTGGTTCTTCTTGGCCGAGTAGCCGCCCGATATCGCTTGTATGGTGTTTGTCACCCAATTCAACGAGCTAGTGACAAATGCGTCAGAAAATGAGGTCTTTCGCCCGAAGCAAGTGAACCCGTTCCTGAGGAGTCCTACTAGAAAATGCATGAGCTTAAGGGATTCAGCCTGGTGCGCTTACACTTAGGGTGCTTAGACAACTAAACGAAATCACTGCGTCGAGTTGATCTGCGAAAACACACTCCAGCACCAACAGAACTTAGCGGCGAAATTCAGTGCAAATCCTAAGTTGCCGTATAGACACGTCAACAACCTCCGCAGAGTGCAGCGCGGGATCCCAGCTTTACGTGCAACAGGTGATCTGGTGCACACTACACAAGATGCGGCCAACGTGCTTCGCCAACACTTCACCATACCTTCCAGAGTGAACCATCATTGTACCTGCTTTTGACACAGCTCCCATCATTACCAGGATTAAACAACATATCGTTCACGGCAGCCAACGTGGTGTAAAGACTAATGTCATTGCGCGTGCACACCTCATCTACAGTAAACGAGATCAAACCGAAAGCATGGAAGACAACGGCTGTGAACTTTGTCGAAGCATTAGCTCGATTTGTTCAACGCTGCCTCGATGAAATGCAGCTGCTCACAATGTGGAAACATGGACTAGCCAATGCTATTTACAGAAGTGGTAATCGTGCAAAGCCCTCGAACTACCGTCCAATCACTCTCCTCCCAGTTTTATTCAAATAAATGGAAGGTATAGTCGCAGACGCACTCATGGGATATTTGAGGGTAATATCCTAGTGTTACAGCAACTTGGATTCCGCCGAAATCGATCCTGCACTAAATACTTTCTGCTAGCCCGAGCAAGCTGGACAGAGTCAGCCGATGCCAGAGTAGGAGTCGACGTTGTCTAGCTGGACTTCTCGAAAGCGTTTGGACCACCGCATTCTCCTTCACAAGTTCCGAAGCTATGAAATCGGTGACACTGTGCTCGGTTGGATCGGTAAATTCCTCATTCAACGTCAGCTGCATGTGAGAGTCCGCAGCTCCATTGCACACCTGACTGACGTCCAGTGCGGCGTGCCCCAAGGATCGGTACTTGGCTACGTTTATTCTTAGTCTTTCTTACCTATCTTGCCAGTGTACTGCAGCCGAATTTCTTACCATTTGCAGATGATATCAAAATGTAGCATGACATCATGACAGCGGATGATCAAATGGCATTGCAGAGCGATATCGATAGGGCTTATACGTGGTCATCTGATAACTTGCTCCAGTTCAACGTGGCGAAGTACAAACGCGTGAGCATACGCCATCAGCTTACCCATGAATATCGACTTTGGGACCAGCAGTTGCTATGTGCTTCCCAGGAAAGCAACATCGGAGTGATCGTGCAGGACAATCTTGGCTGCTCGAGACAAACTGAAAAGGCATCAATCAAAGGCCATCAATCTTTCTGTAAATGCTGAACGCCTACGTGAAGCGCCAAATGGAACATGTGATCCAGACCTTGCGTCCCACGCGCAAGCGCGACG